ATGACGACGACGTTCCAAAACAGGGATAAACACCTGCAATCATAAGTAATAATTCATTTATTTGCGCACTTATTTATGAACACCTTTAAAAAATTTAAAAAATAAACACTAACCTTATCGACCTCCCACCATGCAGGATAAAGTTTAGCTTGCCCATTGCCCAACGAAAATGATTCATCTCGTTGATTCTTCAAGTGAACTGCGTGAAAAGCCGCCGGCATTATTGTATATCGCGATTTTTTTTTATTTTTCCTAAGCTTCCTTATTATTAGAAGACGTGACACCTACGCATCGATATACTGTTTTACAAAAAAAAAGACATATATTAGTGAATTACATTAATTTTTAAAAAAATTAATCAAAATCATATATAAGTCAAATATAAGACTTACCTCCCCATCGAAATAGCCACTGTCTTCAACCCCTAATAACATACCCCACCAAGACCGATTAAGCAACAAATACATCTCATCGTTGAGTTTGCTTATGTCAGTGTAACACCCTTGGCTCCGCTCATGTAGATAAAAATCAACTGCGGTCTTAGCCCAAAGGGTATTATCCAGAATTGTTTCTGGTAGTTGTCTCCTCTCCACTTCAGATACCGGAAGGGTACTAGCCGGTAACTCATACGAGAGCCAACTCTCATCCATCATGTCCGGCAACGGTGGGGGTTTCTCAATAATTCGATATATTACCCCAGGTGAATCGGGCTCTGGAATGGTGGGAGGGACCTCTTCAACGATGACAGTGGCCTCTTGAACGATGGGGGGGACTTTTGAGGGATCATAAGGGCCTCTTGAACGATTAGAGGGGACTCTTGAGGAATGACAGGTGAGTCGGGCTTCTTCTTGCGGAGTCTTCGCACCATTGGGGTGAACGGAGACGTAATAGCTTGTGCACGCCGTCTGATGCGTGAACTCCGTCGTGCAAGGAAAACCCGACGTAAAGCATCCACCTTATCGGGCCGCTAAAAAAATTAATACATAAATCAGTAAATAAACAGACATGATATTAAACAAAGACAAATATGTTTCAAACTTGCATTGTATTCACCCAAGTCATTATTCTATCATAGTTCACAAAATGCATCAGATAACATTCCAGAAGTAAGTACTTATATAAACATTTAAAAGGACAACATATATAAACATTCAAGAAGAAGAATAGTTTACTTTTGCAACACGAAACTTACTTTCGCAATGTGGAAATGACTATCGCAACGCGGAAATGGCTATCGCAATGCAAAATGAAAATCGCAACGACAAAATCGCAACGCGAAACACAAATCGCATTGCGATTTTCATTTCGTGTTGCGATTTTGTCGTTGCGATTTTCATTTCGCATTGCGATTTTGTCGTTGCGATTTTCATTTCGCATTGCGATAGCCATTTTCGCGTTACGATAGTCATTTTCGTGTTGCGAAAGTAAACTATTCTTCTTCTGCAAATTGAAACTTGAATGGATTGCATTACTTCAACCAAAAGACAAAAACAAAACCAAAAACAAATACTAACAAAAACAGTTTAGCAGTATTGGCAGCAACCGAATGAATTTATTAAGCAATCTAAGTGAAATGGTTAATCTAAGTGAAATTACGAGTAAATTTATCATCAAGTTAAATATGAAAAATCTTAAACTTACCTCGTTGCGTAGAGTATGAACCTCATTCTGCAACGATGCTACCATCTCACGTAGAGCGGCTACCTCACTGCGTAAAGTAGACACCTCAACACGCCATGCACCATCGTCTTTGCGTAAAGTACCGACCTCCTCACGCAAGGCATTGACCTCATCACGTAACTCTCCTAACTCATCTCGTGGAGGTGGAGAACAGGGAGATAAACGTCGTGGCATCTTTACCGGTCGCCTATCTTGCGGTGATGGTGGAGAAGAGGCTCGATGATGTGATAGAATAGGTGATGGCTGTCGTTGTGGAGGTGTATAGTCGGGTCGATCAGGTGATGGCTCTGGGTGAGGTGATAGCTCTGGGTGAGGTGATGGCTCCAGAAGTGGAGGCTGCTCATCATCCGTGCCATCAAAAAAACGCTTACTAGCTTGCCACCAATCAGTGGCAAGCTCAGCTTCCGTGGTTGTCAGCCTCTGTAATGGAGTGTTGGCCTCCTAACAATATAAAAGCTCAAACAAAGTTAAACGTGTACTAGTAATAACTTGTTTATAAACATATGGTAGTATTTATGTCAACTTACATTATTTATTATCGTATACCGTAGTAAATCTTCCCATTGCAAGGTCCGTTTCCTCTTTTAGGAAATAGCCCTGGGAATATCATTTGAAGTTTTTATTGCATGTCTTCATGGCGGGAAAGGCCTCAAATATCCAAATCTACAAACAATATAATAACAAACATTAGTAATTGTTAAATAATTACTTATAATTTTGGAAACATTATATAAAAATTCTTACCTTAAAGGCCCAAATAAAGCCTGTCAAAGTGTATTTGGAACCATCGCCATGCAAACTTTTTCGATCATCCAAGGCAGACGATAACTTATTCCATGTAGCTTTCCATAAATACGAGCCCCATGGAAACAGGTTCCACGCATTTAGGTATTCTACCAATTTGATTAGATCATTCAGAATAGGTTGTCTGGCCTCTCTGCCTAAAAAGCCGGCATGCAAAAGTATTAGAAGGCATACTCGGACAACATCGACGTCGTCCATCTGAGTAAAACCATCTTTCTTATTCAATAATATCGTCAGGTCTTCCACGTGTAGATTCGGCCTCTCCAGCTCAGGAAAAACCCGGGATAACCATGATGGACGGGTAATGTGTCTAGTGTATCGACCTACATCATCGTGTCCGAAGCGTAGACCGGTGATTAAGCAAAACTCCTCCCGCCCAAAACACGTATACGCCGGTGGAAAATCAAACCATATCTCTTCATCATGACGTTGTATAGTATCTGGTAGATCCCTAGTCATGGTTTGAAGAAACAGGTGTGTCAACATCGCATCTCCACCGGGATGTTGTACTTTCAGCCATGGCCCGAAGCAAGTATCCTCAAACATTTTTCTTTGTGCAGGTGAAAGCTTCGACGCAATTGTTTTGGTCAGGCTGACTTTATTTTCTTAAGGTCAATTGAGCCGAATAAAAGTTCTACAAAAACAATAAACATACTAAGTTAGATATACCAAAAACTACACTGTGAAGATATACCAAAACAATAATAAATAGTAGTAGTTTATTCTTCAAACTTAAATTTGCAACACTGTGAATTTCTTATTTGTCTTTGTTTTTTGGTTGAAGTAATGCAATTCATTCAAGTTTCAATTTGCAGAAGAATAATAGTTTCTGAAAATGAAAATCGCAACACGAAAATGACAATCGCAACGCGAATTTGACTATCGCAACGAGAGAATAAAATCGCGTTGCGATTTTGTCGTTGCGATTTTCATTTCGCGTTGCGATTCTCGGTTGATTTAATAAGCAATCTAAGTGAAATGGTTAATCTATTATTGAAATTACCAGTAAACTTATCATCAATTTCAATATGAAAAACCTAATAATAATGCAAAAATTTCAAAAAGAAAATAATTAAAAAAACTAACCCTCGGTGGTTGATTTGGTTAATTTTCCATTTCTGATTGTGAGGGTGGCTCTGAGAGATGGAGATAGACTGATTTCGCCGGAGATGGGGACGGATTTCGTCGGAGATGGGTGAGAGAGTGAGAGATGGAGATGGGACTGAGTTGTGATTTTAGGTTTTAGGTTATGAGTTGCGATTACGGGATATACTGTGGACGGTTCAGTGTTCCAATATATTAATATTTGTGTTTGAAATTTGAAAATAAAATACGCTTTGCGATACTAATGGCGCTTTGAAAATCGCATTGCGATTATGTATTATCTCTTTGCGAAAGTCAGTATTGAGTTGCGAAATTAAGTATCGAGTTGCGAAAGTCAGTATCGCGTTGCGATTTTGTATTATCGCGTTGCGACAGTCAGTACCGCATTGCGATTTTCCAAAATTCGTATTGCGATAGTCATAATCGCGTTGCGAATCTGGAAACTGATTTGCGATAATGGAGATCGCGTTGCGAATTAGCGATCGCATTGCGATTTTGTTGGTCATTTTGGCAAATCCGGAAAAAGTTGGTTAAAATCGTATATTATATAAGATTTTTGGTCACTGAGGTTATTTTCTCTTAAAAAAAAAGTTATGAATGGTATCCTCTGCTATCATATTTTGATTAATGCACTATATATACATGATTTTATGCTATGAGCGAATCTATATATACATGATTTTATGTTAGGAGCGAATTTATAAAATTTTAAAAGAAAATGGATTTATAAATTTTTTAGGGATGATAATAGATTATCACTTGAAAATATAAAAAAATATCTAAAATATATAAATATCTAAAATTTTCAAGTAACGATTACCTTCGTTTACCCTTTTCGGTTCATCCCCGGGCAATGCAGATGTCTTTGACAACATGATATGCACTCCGTTTATAGCAAACTACCAATTCGGGCAATGCACATTCAATTACACTTTTTTGTCCATATATATATATATATATATATATATAGAAAACCCAGTCCTGAAATGATGATGATATTATGTTTCATTGATCACCAGTTTTGAAATCTCAAACTTTGACAGTTAAAAAGAATATCATAATTAACAGTTTCACATGCACCATTCGTATATTGTATAGTTAAGAATGGTGCCACTTCGAGATCTAAACTGTTTTCTGTTTATTATATTTATAGTTTTAAAATATTTTTGAATGGCAAAAGGGTGGCTAAAGATTTTATATATACATAGATATGTGTGTGCGAATAGTTTTCATTTCCTCTAAATTCAAGTACTGATTGGGATCGATGGACCTTGAATTGTAAAAATAGTCTGAACAAGCATACAAATTTGCCCTATTCTCCCCCTCAACCGTAATGGGGTTGATAACACTCACTTTTTAAGTTTACTTATAATTTGGGATCACAAGTAACTACACTTAAATAACTTAAAAAATAAACATAAAAATGTTATACTTAATTACTCGTATAATTTCATTCAACTGGCTTGTGACTACTAATGGATCATATAAAAATACAAAGCATGAAGCAATAATGAACCAACAGCGCCTTTTCCAATCATCCTCACCTACACTGCTCTTCACTGTCATTTAACTTCCTTCACAACTATAGTATCTATCCATCTTCTGCATCCACAAAAACCCCTTGCACAGCTATTGCTAGGGAAAAGTGGTTCATCCATAAACCGACATCAATCAAATGAAATCGTTTGGTTTTCCGATTTTGATGTTCAGCTCACTTAAATATGCAGTAATTGCATTTTTCTGCCAGCCCTTGAAACTCCTGAAATCAGGACTAAGCATCAAGAGGCATTGAGAAACACTGTCTAAGATGTGCTCATCAAGCTTGGAGAAATTATAGCAGAAAATAAGCACGGCAGAACAGAGAGAAGATGGCAATTGAAACACATTTGATGTCTCCAATCATTTAGTCTCCATTATCTCATGCAGTCGTGGAAAATTGTTTGAAACGATCAAAGAAAAAAATGAAAATTCAGGAGTCACTATGTACCCTATTAACGTATTTTGCAATTTTAATACTTACACAATCCATGGTCAAATGGAGCACCGACTCTTGAAAGCAATTTAGAACCAACAAGGAATTTAAAAGTGTCTATAAAAGAAGTGCTATGCAACTCAAAAACTAGATGGGGAATGGCACACAATGACTCATTTTTATTACTTTACATACTTCTTTTTCTTTTTTCTTTTGACTCTAGTTTCCCTGTCTAAACATCAATACTCGGTGACACCAATACAGTATGTGTTGCTATTTTTATTACTTTACATACTTCTTTTTTCCTTTTTCTTTTGACTTTCTAGTTTCCCTATCTAAACATCAATACTCAGTGACACCAATTCAGTATATGTTGCTCAAAATAGTCCAGCTAAAAACTACATATAAGTGAAAACATGTAACTCCCAGACGCTCAATCCTAAACTGATTCTAGCTGTAGCAAAATCCTTGGACATATTTCTAGATTAATAATCCAACATATAACCAAAAGTATAGATGATTGAACCATGACGTCATTTAATAAAATTATCATTCAACTTACTTGTGATCAAGATGTGCCAAAACTTCCCCGTCAGGGAAAGCTGATTTTGTAGCTTCATATGCAACTTTAATCGATTGCTTCCATGTTCCACCATTACCATCTGTATTTCCATTTACTTTTGACTGACTTGGATCTTCCATTGGTATACAATATCCAGAAAGCAAGTGACCCACCCAAACACCTTCTTTTCTGCAGTTGGAAGTTTAAAATGAAGAAAAGATTATTAATAGTGAAAAAGCCTCGTTCAAACACTTTTTTTTCTCTCTTCCTGGAAACAGGCGAACAAAATACTTCAAAGGCATGTTGATAAGTTCAGCATTACAGGAGATATGTGGTAGCAGGAAAATTTTGAAGAATGAGAGCTGCATGGCCATGTGTAGAAAAGCTAATGATAAGAACTACTTACAAGACTATATCCATGTGTCGAGGAGCATAATGTCCACCACCAATTCCGAGAAGCACTTTCCTTTTGTCATTCTCCCTAGAATATAAAAAAGAAGTTATAAAATACCATGTCATGTCAGTAATCCAAGGCATATTATCATGAAGAGAAACTGTTTCTTTCCAAAGAACAAAGCAAAAGAGGAATGACAGAAAATAAGGCAAAAATAAGTGCTTGGAATGTCATAAAAGGCATAATGAATTATGTCAGTTATTAGATTAGTACCTGCCCCAGTTTCCGACTGCATCACCACCTCCAAGCCCAAGTCCTTCCCAAACCAACTTCAAGCACAGACAGAAGAAGTTACGGAAAGAGCCTGTCACCTCTAATAATCTATCTATTTTACTTGGTGCCACAAGTTAAAAACACTAGAAGTATTAAAAATGTTATCCATGTTCAACCATCAGACTTTGTTATATTATTTCACTCACTCAGGACGTTAAAGGTAAAATAGAACATAATTCAACAAAATGTCAAGAACATTGGAGAAAGCAACAAAATGACAAAGGCATAATAACAATAGGGCTGTGCCAATAACTAACACTTGAAACATAACATATGATAAATGAATACTCAACTAGAGCCATGACTTGAGCAGCATCTAGCCTCGTCCAATGCTCGTCCGTACTGCCTATAACAACAAAAAAGAAAGCATATTAAAAACAGAAAAAAGAGAGCAGATAAGTCCTGGAAAATCATTGCAGAAATCCGTCTAGCAGGAGCTTAAATATTTGCAAAAAAGGAAGGCTATCGGCATCAAGCAGACAAAAAACTGTCACAATATAAAGCAACATTAAAACTCTTCCAGCTAAAATCAAGTAAACACGGAAACATAAAATGTTCTTCCTTTTGGCAGCTGTCTATTTAAAAGCAAAAAAATCATATGAAGGGGACACTGCAAATGATGATCTCACACTTGACGAGTTACTGAATAAAATTTGAAAAGCATGCTTGGTAATTATCAGCAGAGGACTATTTCACCTCAATAAAGGAGTACATAAAGAAAATCTCAAACAAAATCCATATCCATATATCAATTTAACAGCTCAGTTAGTGTGCATGTACAGGTAGACTAGCTTCATAAATTATCCTAAAACACCAGTCCAAATCTGATCGGCAAAGATTCATCCCATCCCATGAAAACCAATATAGCTGCTTTTCCATTTATTTATTTATTCATCTATTGATTTTTGTTTCCAAATTTTAGCATAGATTTCCCTCAAGAAACTATTTTTGGGGCAAACTTTAGGACAGCTGAGGCCACATCAAAGAGAATGTGAAATAAATGAACTCTAGTTAAATTCCTAGCTTTGAAGTGGGAAAAACAATAATATAGCAGACAGCAATGGATTACCAATCTCAAGGAACATTGTTGGTTTTGTTGTTATAGGTCCATGATGCGTACCCTCCAAAGTTATCTAAAACAAAATTTAAAAATACTATTAATTTTTTTAAAAGGGTAAACAAAGTTGTAAGCAATAATCAATAATCAGAATGACCTCAAATTCAGGAACCAAATTATGAGATTGGGCAAGTTTCTTCAAATGCCTAAGCCAGGGCCCCATCCTAGGGTCAGGCGGCGCTGCCCAACCTGGCCTCCCACCCTGTGGCGGAACATCTCCTTCGCGCAAATGAGGTATCCCTGCATTCCACACAGAGAAAGTAAGAAATCTTAGCTTTAATCCCAACATTAAAAAAACTTGTTTTACAAATAAATTACCGATTGGATGAACAGTGAGAGCCGGGCGATTGGAAACAGCCGTATGTTTGCTGAAGAAAATAACCTCATCGACAGCCTCTCCAGTGGCTTCTTTCCAACGGTGATCCAAATCGTCCTCCTCGACGATGCTTTTGTCGTGTTGAAGTAGCCGAATATTTTGATTAGAAAAACTTTTTATTCCCTAAAAACCATTAAAAATGAAAAAATTAAACCGGCCGCAAAAATTAAGATTTGAAATACTGATTAACGCATATACTTAAGGACCTGCTGCTGTAAAGAGGGGACGGGGACGGGAAGCCAACCGGGGTTGGCCAAGAGGGCGTTGGCAGGGTTGATTGAGGCCGGATCGCTGGTTGTCGCTACTAATATCGTCACCATTTCTGGTTTTACTTGTATTTTTGCTTCGAAATTGTAGAATTTAAAGAGCTGAAGGTCGGAGATCTGTTTTCCGCCCACAGCTTGCACTAAAACCAACGGCTTCGTCAGTGTAAATGTTAGTGAGGCTGCGCTCCTGGCCTAAAACTAGAATCATGAAACGGCGTCATATTATGCTTTTGAGCGGGTACAATCATATTATGCTTTTGAGCGGGTACAATGAATTCTTCTATTGTAGGGTGATGAATGAAAATGAACTTATTTCCGTTAATATATATATATATATATATATATATATATATATATATGATTTCTTCTTGCTCTTCTCTCTTTTTTTTAATAATTTTTGTCAATTTTATTGATTAATCTAATTTTTTTCTTTAATTTTGTTTAACAGGCGACGACATCAGTTTTAATGTTGATTGCCGTCCGCCGATTATTTTTTTTAGTTTTTTAATAAGAATAATTATGTCTTTGTGACATATTCTTTGCTTTTACATGTTTATCTCTACCTTTATGACATGTTTTTCTCTGTCTTTCGGTAGCTTATTTTCTGTCGTTATTTTTGTTTATAATTTTTCTCAGGGTTAAATTTGATATTGTCACGATTGATCAAGATGACGCTTATTTGTTATCATGGTGATATTTCCTTCTTTGAACCCTCGGATTGATTTGGATACGCATTTTACGTTCGTGGATAGTTTTCTCAAGTCGTTTGACTTTGATTTACGATTTTTCGGTGGTCTTTCAGTAGCTTCATTCTCCTTTGGGATTCGTTTACCGATGCAGTCAGATTTGTTTGTATTTTTATTTTATTTGAGTTTTTTAGTTAGGTATTTTAACATTTTCCTTCTTTAGTCCTTATGTGATCTAGGTGGTTAGTTTTTGTCTCAATGATAGTAGGAAAATGTCATAATTATATTTTAGATTTACGGTTATGGTTATAAATCTTCATTGTTATTTTGAATATTTTTTATTTTTAATAAAATTAGCCACTTTCTATAATATATATATATATATATTGAAATGATCGTTAATATATATTAATCAAACACAAGATCAAGGGGAGAACCGGAGGGGTAAAGCTACGACCATAATAACTAATGCGGAAAACAACACCGAAAACGGGCAAAGTTATCACGGAAAATAGCAATGTGGAATCATATCAATAATAATATATTATAATTGTAATTTAATAGGTGCCGTAATTATTTTTTTGTAATTTGTATTTCAACTTAAAGTGAATGATTTTATTTTTTTGGAGTTGCCACTAATCTTTTGGGTTATACAAGGTTGGATAACTAAATTTTTTCTTTTTTATCAGATCTATGTCTTATCAGATATTTACTTAAAAGAGTTTAGAAGTCAATTACGTGTGACAAAAGATGAACACTCCCACATTGATCTTTCTATACCAACACAATTACGAGATGTTTTAATAATAAAAATAAAGTTTAAGGCCAAAGAAGATGTTTTTTTACTTATCTTTGAGAGTTTATTAATACAAAATAAAAAAAGAGTCAAAAATATTTTAAATAAAAATGTAACTTAAAGTTGAGTTGAATATGTAGTACTACAAAATTTTGGTTAGTGGGTAAAATGAAAGTTTGATGGTTAAAGTATATATTTAGGAAAAGTTTAAGGATTAAATGATAATTTTTAAAAATAAGTATTTTATTCTTGAATAATTTACTACCAAGAATGATGTTTTCATGTTACTCATATTTTTTTGTACCAAACTGGTTTTAAAATCTATAAAAAGTTAAAGTTTAGGGAAAAAAAATCGGATAGTCGGATCAAATAAAAAATTTATGAAATTTTGCTAGATAATTGTAGACACCTATTTTCGTCCGGAGATTTTTTTATATAATAATATCGTATAGTTTTTGAAAGATTGTTTTTGTTTCGTTTCGTTTACACATATAGTTTTTTTTAAATCGATTTTTGAAATATATATATAATATATAGTTTTTCAAAACATTTTGAAAATATATAATATATAGTTTTTTTAAAAACATTTTTAAAAAAATATATATATTATAGTTTTTGAAAAATAATGTAATATATAGTTTTTTGAAAATATTTATAATATATAGTTTTTGAAAACATTTTGAAAAAATATATAATATATATAGTTTTTGAAAACATTTTGAAAACTTATATAATATATAGTTTTGAAAACATTTTAAAAAATATATATAATATATAGTTTTGAAAAAATATATAATATATAGTTTTGAAAACATTTTTAAAACATATATAATATATAGTTTTAAAAACATTTTAAAAAATATAATATATAGTTTTAAAATATTTTTGAAAATATATATTATATAGTTTTGAAAATATTTTGAAAATATATATAATATATTATTATTATTATTATTTTATTATTATTATTTATTTATTATTTTTATGTCCAAACGAAGTCCAACAAAGGCCCAGTAGGAAACCTAATCGGGTTTGGGCCTGACCTGGTCCTAACTCGATTAGGGTTTCATGTCTAGCCGGAGGGCGCCGCACGGTCAGAGAAGTCAAGAGCCAACCACGTGAAACGACCGGCTGAGATCCCCGGGATTGCACCATCCCGGGGTGTTCGGTCAACCCACGAACAGTCCACTAAAGTCCCAAAATAATCTGGAACGATCTCGAGATCACCGAAAATGAACCATCAGTGGTGGGGTATAAATACCCCACCAAGTCTGTCACGAACAACAACCGACAGAGAACACGACAAAAAAAAACAACAAGATCGAAATACAACAGAAAATATCGAAGCAAACACAAGAGCAAATCATACAAAAACCATCCCAAATACCAACAAAAACAGGAAAAAAAACAGAGGCCTTTTTTCATCTAATGGAGCGAGGGCAGTGAAGGAACGACATCGGAGGAAAAGTGCCGAAAAACGAAACGTTTTCCTCAAAAAGGTGAAAACCCGAAACTTGCTCGTTAGATCTACGCCAAGTAAGGTGTTTTGTTTTTGGTATTTGAGGGTCGGTTTTGGGTTCACGGGGTCGATAGGATCATTTGTGTGAGTTTTGATTTTTTCGGCCGCTAGCAACGGTCGGCGCGATGGGGAGGTTACCGGGCGGTGGCCTGCCATTGGCCGGAGAATGATAGGTTGAGAGCTTTTCTTGGGTTAGGGAAGATGAGTTTTGTGGGAAATGTTTGAAATGATTTGGAATTGGGGTTTTTGGGTATTTATATACCAGGGACCTCTGTGTAATTTTAATGTCAAATGACCATTTTACCTATAAAATACAGTGCACCTAAATGTGCCACATGTCAAGTTCTTCATCTAAGGGCTAAGATTAAATCCTGGAGCTAATAGTTACCAAATTTACCCATATAAGTTTCTAAAATATCAATATTACCTTTCTTAATCCAATGATTAATATTTAACATGGAAATCATCTTAAATCCAATGGTCCATATTAAACCTTATCTTTTAAAATATAGGAAATGACTTCTTTGACCTTGCTTTATTATTGTCGTAACCATATTTCGGGTGGGCCCAAAATTGGGCTTCGACTTGAAATAAAAATGTTAGAGTCACCACCGATCATTTAAAAACAATATTTAGGTTGATCGGACACCATCTTACCTGATCCGCGTTTTACCAGAAATATATCGGGTTCGGGAGTCGGTTAGAATCAAGAAAGGATTAGCACCCTTGTACTGTCATTTTGGTACCAATTAATTTGTCGGTTGTCTTGATTGTAAAAATTGAAATTTAAATTAAAACTTAAAAATTCAATTCAAATTAATTACCTCTGAACGATTGAAAGTATTCCTAAAAAGTAAAAAATGTTAGATAAAAAATAATAAATAAATATTAAATAAATCAAAGGAAAAAGAAAGAAGATAAAATAAAATAAGAAAATGAAAAATATTAAATAAATCAAAAGAGAGAAAAAATAAAAAAAATAAAATAAAAAAGTGAATTATTAAATAAATCAAAGAAAAAGTTGAAAAAGGAAAAAATTAATAAAAAATGAAAATAAAAAAATAAAAAATGTTAAATTTTAAAAGTAATAAAATAATAATAATAATAATAAGTAAAAACTATAACATAAATAATTTAAAAACAAAAAAAAACCAAAAAAATGATAAAATTTAAGAGGGAAAAAAATGAATAACAAAAAAAATTAAAGGATCAAATTGAAACAAATTGGAATTGAATGATCAAATTGCTACTAAAAATGTGCTACAAGAGATAAAGGGGTTAAATTGTAAAAAAATATAAATTATAAATAGGGACTGAATTGAATAAAATGAAGATTCAGAGGCTAAATTGAACACAGTGACCGAAATGAATTACACTTCAAAAGTTTGGGGGACGGCGGAATTGATTTAAAAATCTTATAAAATTAATTTTTTTGTCAAATTAAATTTTATATTCGGATTCGGATATCCAGATATTCAATCTAAAAAATCAAATACCCGAATTTCGGATATCCGATTTTTTCGGATCGGATACGGATAACTATTTTAGGTATCCAAAATTTTCGGATATCCGAATTTTCGGATCGGATTTGATCCGATATTTGGTTTTGCAACCCCTAATGACCATGACTAGCATTAAAAGAAAAAAATTCAAAAATTCTCTCCAGAGCTTGTTACTTACTGTCGTGGTGGTATTTAGAACATTAAGGTGAGATTTAAATTTTATTTTTAAGCTTTTTAAGTTTGATTTAAGGTTTAAACATGAAATTCTCTCAATTTGGTACCATTTATTCATTATTTTGATTAGTATATATTATGGAATTTAAGGATAGATAATTTGAGGTTTAACGATTCAAACTTTCAGATTCTAAACACTTCAAATGAAGCTTGAAAAATAACAAATTATCTAAACACTTCAAATAAAACATCCTTTTAACTTTCCTTAATAACTGAATTGGTCCTTCAATCTTAATCTTAGGATTCAAGCTTCAAACAATTCAATTTTTAAAATAATATAATTTCCTAATCATTTCCATCATTAAACAACATTTACACATCAATCTCTTATTTTTTTTAAATTGACGAATTGGTCCTCCATAGTATATCTTTAAAATTTTGTTTTAA